GAGAGTTTGCCAGAGTAACTGGGACATCTGAAAATGGAAATGGAATATTTAGACCGCTACATTGTTTTTAGGAGCCCTGGTGGCACAGTGGTGAAAGCGCTGAGCCGCTAACCGAAAGTTGGCAGTTGGAACCCACTAGCCACTCCAAGGCAGGATGTAGCAATCTGCTTCCGTAAAGATTTACAGCCTTGGAAACCCTGTGGGTCACTATGAGTCGGATTCAACTCAGCAGCAATGTGTTTGGGTTTGGACATTGTTTCTGGAAAAAGTGCCATTCCCTGAAATGGTTAACAGATGTTCAGACGAGCAGGAACCTCCACAATGTCAAAGCCAAATACACAGCCATAGCATGCATTACAATGATGTCTTTTCCTACTCAGCCCTTTAACAATTGTATCATTTTTGTTTGATCGGAATGAAAGTGTCACCTTTCTCTTTTGGCCTCCCATGTATTGTTCCTCTTTTTCAGGCATTAATATAGAAAGACCACATTTGAGGCCTTCTGCAGGCATTGTTTGGTCTTCCTTCTGTCCGTATTAATTTGCCTTGCTTTTCCAGCATTTGTTTGCCACACATGTGAAATACCGGGTAGGGTGGAACGTAGCAGTACTAACTCTGTAGGCTCTTTGACAAATTGCCCTTCAATTCTTCTGCTCTGGCGTCTTGAGACTACATCTTTTATTTACCAAACACAAACTCATTGCCATCGAGTCAATTCCGACTCATAGTGACCCCTAGGACAGAGTAGAACTGCCCCGTAGGGTTTCCGAGGCTGTAAATCTTCACGGAAGCAGACTGCCATATCTATCTCTGAGCGGCAGGTGGGCTCGAAGCGCCAACCTTTCACTTGGCGGCTCAGCGATTTAACCACAGCACCACCAGCACTCCTTAAAAATAGTTGCCATCGAGTTAATTCAGATTCATGTGTGCAGAGTAGACCTGCTCCACTGGGTTTTCATGGCTGTAACCTATCAAAGGCAGATTCCCAGGCCTGTCTACCGAGGCACCTCTGGGTGAGTTTGAACCACCAACCTTCCAATTAGTAGTTAAGCACTCAACCGTTTGTGCTACCCAGGGACTCATCTTTTATTTACCACTCACTTATTAAACACCTATGTACAAGACACTCTTTTGGTATTGGAGAGACGCATACATACACAGTCCCTTCCCTCCTGAAAAAGCCAGCCCAGGAAAGGAAGCAGGTCTGTAAACAAATCATAATCCCGATCTCCAGTGACAAGACCTAATAGATCTACGTGTGAGTCAGTAAGGGGGAGGAGGGGACAGAAAAACATTTCTGCATCTTGGAGCAGGGCTGATAAATAAAAGCTTCAAAAAGATTCAGGGTCTTAAAACAACAGATAGGAATTCACAACGTGGAGAAGAAACAGGAAGCAAGCAGACAGTTAGGAGAGCGTAGAGAACTGTTAACCAGAGAAAAACAGGACGTATCAAACGTGTAATAAAAAGTCTTAGTTGGCTGTGCTTATAATGAGGCGGCAGACCAGCTGGCGTAGCACATTCTGTACCTTTACTTCTTGAGTTTATTGTCACTTGACCTTTTGCTTCTCCATGGATGGAATTTCTCTACCATAAACTAAGCAAATAGAGGGAGAGTTCCACAGTAGATCTAGAAGGAAGGGAATTGTTTTAGGCGAAATTGCCAGCAGCCACCTGCTAGGGACAAGGGGCAGGGCACTTTCTCCATCCTCATGGAAGACATCTCACCTGTTCTTGTGAGCAGGATCTCAGCCACAGCACATGCTGTCTGGGGCCCGACCAGGATCCATCTTGTGTGTTCTCACACTGAGCCAAGGATCGAGAGGACAGTGGTAATCATTGCAGCCGTCATCAAGCATTACTGTCATGTGTGCGCTCCTTGGATTTCCATCATGCAAAGTGTACTTGTCTCATTGGCACTTCTTGAATTATAGTTATACAAAATAACTCAGATCTTCGTGCCTGTTTTCCAGGACATCACTAGTACGTCTCTCCTGGAGCTAGGTACTTCAGCCTCTGCACCTGGAGGCAGGACTAGCTTCGTGGGCATGCAACCTGTGTGGCTGTCTGGAGCCCCATGCTCAGAAGGGCCCGGCCACCCTTGGTTTAACACTCCAATGCTGCCATCTTGAAATGCTTAATGCTTTTTGAACAAGGAAGACAGCATTTTCATTTTGCACGGAGCCCTGCAAATTACGTAGCTGGTCCTGTCTGGAGGACTAACTGCTTCAAGGTGAATTTCTATCAAGCCCTGTCTCTATATACCCGGGACAAGAGACATTACAGAATGGTTCTGAATATAGCTTTTGGTTACAGTGATCATTTCCACTGTCATTCACTTGGCAGGGTGACTGTCACAAACCTCAAAGTTCAGGCAGTCCAAAAACACTTCTGACATCTGATTACGGATGACTGGTTGATACCAAGTGTACAGATAGACCCCTGCTCCTTAAAGTTTATAAACAATACCGCCCCCCAAACACTGCTTCATAAACTTTCCCATTCTGCAAACTTAATGTGTGCTGCAGAATTTCACAATTTCCTTAGCATAATTTGATTAAGGGTGTGCAGAACTGCATCAGATGTAGTAAAAGTCAAGCGCTGTAATTTTAATTATTAAACACTTGTACCAAAGCCTCTACCCAAAAAAAGCAGCTCAGTGGCTCGTACCTGCTCTGCAAAAGTAGCAGCTAGGATGCCTGGAAAGGTGAAAAGTATTTGAACAAATTACTTCCTTAAGGTGTGACAGATTTGAAAAGGCCCTCCTCAAGGCTGAGTGACAAAATGGGTCTGTAAACTATGCATTTAGCCTGGGACATCCTGTCGCGCACCTCAAGCCATTCCTCAAATTGCAGTTGTCATCTTCTATCTGTCCACACTGGATCCTGACACAGAACTGTCACCGTTGGTGATATATAATTGGTCACTCACTCTTGGGAGGCCTGAGATCAAAAGTTTGCTTCACTCTACGCCCCCATTAGCCAGTATTAAAACATTTGCTTTTTCTAGATCTCTTCAAGACAGTGCAGAAACCCAATTTGTGTGTGTGTGTGTGTGTGTGCGCGTGTGTGTACGTGTGTGTGTATGGTGTTGTGTAGGGAGAGAAGAACACTGCGGGAAGGGCAGAAAGCAACACCGTCCTTCCGTCCTTATTTGCCGTGACTCCAGATGAGACGCCTTTTTATTTCCCTCCTCATCTTGCTGAAGTCGTCTCTAGAGACTGGGTTTCACAAATGATCTTTATTTCATTGCTCAGGGCCCATATTAATTTAATGGCCTCATCCAGAGTCACATTAATTCTCAACCGACAGCATAATCCAGTCACAACTGTACTCTGAGTACAACAGAAACCCTGGACAAAACTGCCCACGGCCAGACAGGGAAGCATGGGACCAGGCAGCCATTGTCTCGTTCAGCATCCACAACAGGACAAACTGCCTGGAAGTAACTATTCCCGTGCCTGGCGAGATCGGCACGGCGGCCTTCAGACTGCACATTCGCAACCCTGGGAAGATCACACGGCCTCTGCACTAATGAGCAACTCTCCAGCCCTCCCTTCGGCACCTGGCAGCGTTCTCACTGCAGGTCAGCTTAGATCCCTGCCCTTGTATTGTTAACGCCATCTGGGGAAACAAATGACGAAAACTGAGTTCCTTATTTGGAAACTTACCTCTCCATGTTCAGAAATCCCACATTTCTGTTTCCACTTCGGGAGTGGGAAATAGTGGTCTACACACGGCCATGCTGCAAACCTTATGTTCCTGCTGCCCAGTGCCCACGTCTAAATTGAGCAAACGTTGCTAAATAGCCTGGCACTTTCTCCTAACAGGTAGTGAAGTCTTCCAGTCTTTCCCTCTGAGCATTTTCAAAATTTCGTAGCTGCATATTTCATTCAACTGATTATTAAGTTTATCAAGTACTCATTATGTGATGGACGCTGAAGGGTACAGATTTATGCCGGTGCCTGCCTGCAAGGTACCCATGGGTCAGTCTGAATGAGGTCTTTGAGGGCTGCGGGCTCCCTGAAACTCAAGCACCCAGCCTAACCCTCTGTCTCTGCCTTGTTCCAAACTAGTATTTGTTGACTAAATGCACTGGGTAGACTCCACTGTATAAAGAGAGCTTTCTAATTAACAAAGGCATTCCAAAGTCAAAGGGGTAAGTCAGGCATGCTCTCTATTGAGCCGAATTTGAAAATAAAAATCACTCTGATAACCTGCTCTGCAGAATTATTTCCTCCTGTTGATGGACACATTGCCAGGTTGGGAAATGTGAAAGGATCTCTTTCATGTTTGCTGCCTCAGAACTGGTCGCAGGCTCTGTTGCGATTTGTTGTGGCACAGGTCTGCTTACACCAGGGGCTGACAGGAGCTTGTTAACACCAAAAAAATGCTTCTCTCCTTCTCCAACCTACGGAAGCGGAATGTCACTGATATGGTATCTCAGTCTTTAGTGGGAACAACACCTGTCTCTCTTTCCTAGAATGCAGCATGGTACCGATCCCCAGGAGCAACAATTCACCTTTTCAAATTACAGAGCCGAGGAGTGGCGGAGTGGAGAGAATGCAGCTGCTACTAAACAAGGGAATTACGGGAGGAAAGCCTGTTCAAACAGCAAAGCGAAAACTGTTGATGTTTAGCTTAAAATTTCATCTGAGCAGAGGCCCAGGAATGCTCTGCAAGCTACAAAGACTCCACATAGTATCTAATATTACCTTAAATACAAGGTCCAAACACACTGTAATTCTACTTCAACGCAATCAAAGTCCTAAGATAACACTGAGAGAAGAATGAACCCAACTGTTTAAAAATCCTTCACTCTAAAAACGAGGCATGAGTTTGACTGTGATTAAGTAATGAGAGCTCATTCTAATGCGACATGAAATTTGTTTTTAAAACGGTTATTTTATCCAGAGTGGTGGCTTTTTAACAATGCTGTCTTAATTTCCTGTTAAACCTGTTACATCTGTACTCATCTGACAATAGTATTTATTTTGTTCATTTAGTTTTAAAGTATTCTTAAATTAAAGCCATTACACATATTCTACTGCTACTAGAGATAGCTCCATGAAAGTATCACAGAAAATGTGATCCATGTGTTATAGCTGTAATCTAGCTTAATAAATACTATAAACTATTTCAGTAAATCAAGAAATAACCATTCTAGACTGTTATGAAATCAACTGCTAATTATTTTTTCAAGAATAAAGAATCTGTGCTTTATCTCGAAATCCTTAAGTGTGAACAGTGAAGATTTCACATTATAATTTCATACTTAAGAATCATCTTGTGCTAAAATATTTTCCCACGTACATATTATTTTCATTACATTTTTCCTAAAATGAAATCCTCAGCATTGAACCTACATGTGTTGGCTTTCAGACAGCTCATAATAAATCACAGTAAAATAAGGCCATGATGATATTGAAGTTGTACCATATTTAATGTAATACGTAACTACACTGTCTCTTGTCCCCATTTGGGCTTCATAACTTCCACAGAGTGCTTCCCTGCAAAATGGGCTCAGGGCAGCAGCAACCCTATTGCCACTGCAGGAAAATTCAATGGTTTTCTCCCTGGAAAACAGCAAATCTCAAAATCCTACACTAACTCATAATCCATTTTCTTTTTCTCTTCTCCGTAACTCATTTTCACATCTCCGAGAAGCTCTTGGTCTGAAGCCGTATTTTATCAGCAGCATTCCTAAATTTACATTTAGTAAACGCGACAAAGAAAAAACAACATACCCCACCTGGCATCCCAAGTAAAACATTACAAATTCACATTTATCTTCTGCATTTATTTGGACGGAAGGCGAGAAAGAGGAAAGCCTGTGAGTGCCTTTTTGGTTCTCAGATAAAACTTCCCTGCTTTCAGATGCCTCCAAGTACTGTGTCAGAGGCAGGGAGAAAAAAAAAAACACTCCAGACACATATACTTCTATCACTTTTATAACTACAGAAGTTGATTCCATCACCAACAATATGTTCCAATCAATTTTTGAGGTTGGTGTTCTGATCATCCACTCTCTTTTTTTTTTTTAAATTTCATACTTGAAAACAAAAAACAACACACAACTCCTTTTTCTGAACCAAACTCAGGACCAACTTTGCTGCTTCAAAATTCCCTGGTCTTAACTCAATAGTAATCAACACTGAATGTCTTCCAAACCTCAAGGTGTTGCTTCTTCCTTTCTAAACTCACATTTCAACAGGAAAGTAGTGTGTGCTTTTTTTCTCTGCTGCCCTGCTTGTTTTTTGCCTTAAGATTTTTCCAGATTTGTTCCCAAGCCCAGGAATGGGCACCTGACAGGCTGTGATTTATACTTGAGAAAACAATCCCCGTTCTTGTCAAGGAGTCAGAAGCTGTGCCCCCCAACGATCTTAGCTGTCCTCCAGGGAAGACTGGAAAACAGGGATGGGAGGGCGGGAGAGCAGGTTCTGTCCGAAGCTGCACTGGACATATAGCACAGGTAAATCCAAAGTAATGGAGGCACATATAAAAAGAATATTATTTATTATCTTCTTTATTAATACTCACATGTAACCTTTGCTTTTTACACAAAAATCTACTTCAGATGAACGCCTCTGGGTGGTTGCTCATGCCCAGCGGGGCTTTTTGTTCCTGGACCACTTCCCCTTTCTCCACCCCACCCCCCATACCCAAATTATTCTTTTACATGTTCACAGATATCACGAAAAGTTTGTAAACAAGATTTGGATTACTGGAACTTGATATCATCAACATCCCACTTCAAAATGGAAGGCAGGTGGGGGAGAGGGTAAGAAACGGGAAAAAGGGGAAGGGAGAAAAGGCAGGGAGAGGGGAGGAGAGGCAGCTGGTCAGACCTTTCCGGTCTTGCCTTTTCTGAGATGTGTGCGTTGTTGCTGTTCCTTGAAATTCCATGACTCAAAACATTGACAGCAAATGCCTGTGTGGTTATTTATGTTATAGATCTATAATAGAATATGTGGGCTTCCTCAGTTTGGGTCTGGGCTGTGTTTGTTTAAACACACCACAATCCTGTGGGTGTCTCCACAGAGAGTAAGATCACCCCAGAAGCCCTCTCACAGCCGGGGCTTCCGGAGCAGGGTCTTGCTGAGGTCTTTAACCTCCTCCGGGCTGCTGACCCGCTCATAGCCCAGCACCGCCATGGGCTGGTAGCAAAACTCCTCCACCTGTTTGATCTGTTGGAAGGTGAGGGCGGTCCGCCAGGCATTGGCAGCCTGGGTGGCGTTGCGGGCGGACACCACGAAGGGCTTAGAGGAGGAGCCCGAGCCACTAGTCATGTTCAGAGCAAACTGTTCCATCTCAGGACTCACCCGCAGCCCCACGAAGTCATATACCCTCCTCAGAGTCTTGATAGGGTCTCCCACCAGGTCCTCGTACCGCACCACCAGGTAGTGGCCCTGCAGCCAGTCCGGGGGCTGCAGGGCCGTTTGCAGCGTCTTGGCCATGCTATTGCAGATGACCTCCATGGCGCCGAGCGCGTGGTAGTCGGCTGGGCCACCCACACCCTCCTTCTTAGCGCCCAGTTTGTGGCCAGCGGCCTCCAGGAAGGGCATGCGGTGGGCGCGCGGGTCCCGGCTACGCACCACCTGCAGGCTCTCGCGGATGAGGCCGTGGCGTGAGCGGATGCGCGAGCTGGCTACTGCCCGGGGATCACGCACCAGGTGGATGACCTTGAGGTCCAGGGCCGGGTCGCGCAGTAGTGGCGCCAATACAGCCACGTCGAAGACCCGCACGCCCTTGATGACAAGCGTGCGGTACTTGCGGCACTCCTCTTCGAAACGGGCCAGGCGCTGCGGCGGGCACTTCTTGCACACGCGGTCGTCCACTAGCCCCACGATTTCCTTGCGGTAGGCGGGACAGAGCGGCGACGAGCATACCACCTTGTTGGTAGCCGCGCCGAAGATGCCCAAAGTGGTGAGGTTGCGCCCCCCGCTGCCCGCGGGGCTGTACAACTGGAAAACGGAGAGGTCGCAGCGATACAGAGCGCTCAGCATGTCCCGCGCCGCCCCCTGCAGGGAAACGGCGTCTCCGGGGTACAGCTTTTGCCACACGTGCCACACTGGCTCGTAAAGGAAGAACACCTCGGGGTTCTGGTTGAAGAGCTCGCCGAAGAAGGACGAGCCCGAGCGCCACGTGGTGAACACATACACCAGCTGTCTCTTGCCCCCGCCGCCCCGGCTGCCATTGCCTGGCGGGGCCGCGGCCCCTGCCCCCCCCGCCGGGACGGCAGCAGCGGGCGGGCGGTACGGGGTGCGGAGGTCCAAGCGGGTTTGCGCTCGGGGCGGCGCTGCCGGTGGCAAGCCCGGACGCCCCCAGCCGCCCCCTGCTGCTCCCGCCGCGGCGCCCAGCTGCCCGTCGGGGCTGCACTGCTGCAGCGGCTCCTTGTGCCACTTGTAGTCCAGGAGGTTGAGCATGGTGAGCACCAGCAGCAGCGCATAGCCTGCACACAGCACCAGCGCCTTCCTGCGGAACACCTTCATTCCGAGCGGGGACGCGGGCCAGCGG